TTCCCTCCCTCTTCACGTAAGGGGCTTCAGCCTCAATAAACTTCTAACTTGTTGTCGCCCGTCGTAATCGAGGCAGGGCGAGGTGGGCCTGGCGGTATTGTCGCTGTAGCCCTTTGTTCTCCCGCAGTCCAGGTTTCTTTTTAAAGGAACATGGAATTGCTGGAGACAGGACGCGCACCTTACGGCGTGCGAGTTGAGCTTACAATAGTTACAATCGGCATGGATTTGAAGGTGCTGCCAGAGCTGCCCAGGCCTTGCCCGTTCTGTTGCAAGGATGGAGACGACAGGCACGGGAGCTGGTTCTGGGAGCTCCCTCTGTCTGTTCCTTCCCCACAAGGTCAGTGGTAGGATTCTCCATGATACGGAAACTGAGGGCAGTGCGCTCCCCAGCAGCACAACTTCAGGTCTCGAAATTTCACCCAGCTGTGCAGGTCCCTGGAGATGCGATCTCTCTGCAGAGTCCCCCCTTCTAAATCCATTTGTACTTCTCAGATGTGGGAAGAGGAATTTGTAGAGGCACTAAAAGGCCATTCTTTTGCATAGGTACAGGCAAGCAATATCTGTACTCTGCCTCTCATAAATACCCAACAGCACCGTTCTGGTCTGGCTCCATTGCACCCATCTGGCTGTGTGCATACAGCTTTTTCCTGAGACCCAGGGCTTGCTGGGGTGGGGTGAGGGCAGTCTCCAGATAGACTTAAACCCAAAGTAGGGACCTGCAGTAAGAACGAGATGATACTGTCATTGGATGTATCGGAATAATTTTATTGTTTGGATTGGGATTAATACTTGAAAGACATGTACCACTTGTGCCCTGACTTATGCACATACCTAAATATTTTCAGCATCAGGCTGAGCCTGAAAGTTGCACAGACAATAAAGGGAAGTTTGAAGAAGAAAAATGCCCTCCCTCGTGTGAACACCCTTGAACGCCTCTCATTACCTACATGGAAAGTTTCCATGTCACTGAAGTGCCCCTTTCCCCAGATGCTGCTTGGTTATGGGGCATCTCTATTGCTGTAAATTGCAGCTGCACAAATTCAGGTTTCTGTCCTGTTGCTCCATATTCAGGACTATTGCAACGGAGTATTTTGAAAACAGGAGTTGGTTGTGTGAGAAAGTACTTTTCACCTTCAAGAAAGTAGCTCTTTTCAAAGCAGAATTTGCAAGATTTCTTATTAATAGAAGCATAAGTTCTAACTCTAATTCCTAAATGTGTATGGCAACATCTCCAATAGGACATTTCTCAGTAAAAAACCAGGATGTTGATCAAACATGTAGACTAGTGCATACACACATACACATACCAGAGAGATGTTAACATTCATTTTCACTTCAAGTGACTACTGTAGTTCAAACTGTAGTCTCCCCACCTCAGCTGATGTCACCAGAGAGAGGTGGTTGCCAATGGGGTAAAGCCATACAGCCAGCAATCATGTGTTCTGGATTTATCTTTCCTTATCTGGCAGCAAAAACAATGTAGCAACACAGATCTCCAGTTAAGTCTTGCTAAAAAGGTGGGAGTGTTCTTAGGAAAACAAAAAAGACAGCAAACATGGTGCAGGACAGAACACATATTGCATCTCTGTGCAAGTAATTCATATTACTGATCTGTGTATGCAGCTACATTTTACCTACAAGTGCATTAAGAGATCTCCAGTGCACTTTTCAAAGTGAAATTAGTGACAGTATAGTCCTGCACTCCATAAAAAGGGCTGAGCTACCTTCTTTGCTTGAAATAATCTGTTTTCTGTTGATTTTAGTGCCATCTCTAATGTCTTTCCTCCTAGTAAAAGTGAGTCTCCTCAGACCTGTTTTCCCCCCTTAAGCCTATATGTTATGGAGGGTTGTCAGGAGCTGCTGCAGGAAGAAAAGCTGCAGCTTTGAAAGGCATCAGTCTCAAAAGAAGTATAGCACTGTGGTCCAAATTACCAGGGATGCTTTGAAGAATGGATCATTTTTCAAATCTCTGGGATATGCAGGAGGAAAAAGAGAAGGCTGCTAAATTGAAAAGGCAGGGAGACTGACTAGGTGACATGTGACAACTGCTGTGAATATGGTTAGTCCCAATTAAACAAGACAAACTCTCCCAGTTGTCAAAGACTCTTCCTAAAGGCAATGTACCACCATCCTTTCAAAAGCAATGTCTTGGATTTTGGTCACTGTCCTCCTCCTTTATATTCATTCTGTGGGTGGTTTGTTGTTTCTTTTTCTACAATCACCAACATTATCCTATGTGGGATTTATCTCTCAGATGCTTCCCTCTTCCATACTTGCACTCTCTGGATGCGTGTTCCTGACTGGGCTGCCGTGGGACTGCTCCTGGAGGGGTGGCTGCTGCAGCCCTGGCTCTGCA